TGTGAAACATAGCGTCGGGGAAGTATCCTCCACACTTCTGAAGTTGATCACGCAGATTTCGAGCGCGGTTGATATATTGCGTCACCTTCTCGCCGTTTATCATCTGTATATTTGACAGCTGCGTCAAAATTTTACTCTGGTTGACAGTATCCTTTGCAATGTGAACCCCTTGCAGGTATAACCAAGCTGCTTCAACGGGAGCGGCACTGGTACGAAAAGGACGAATTCCAAGCTGTTCAGTTGGTGTCAGATTGCGAACGAGAACTGTGTATGCAGTCAGCGACGCCGATCGAAAAGTGGCCTGTTGAAGTGGTGACCCGTGAGACGGAAAGGGTGCTGTGCCGTCGAACAACTGCCAGAACCCCGCGGTCTGAACAAGAAGCTCAAATTCAAAACTCCAGGTATAGAAGTCTTGACCGTTAAAAGGCATAGTCGTTTTAATTTTTGTTGGGTTTGCAGAAGCGGGAAGATAATTTCCGGTACTGTCAGCTGATTGTAGCTGATAAAGTGATGGCACCTGTGACCCTTGTGGTACTTGTTGTCCTTGTCCAGCAGGAACGAAAGAAAAGGAGTTATTCCGTCGCTTCCCTGTGGCATCTGTCCATGCTGATAACTGGAACCATCAAGGCTCATAGGAGTTGGAAACATTTGGTTAAGTGACAAGACGGCAGCATTGACACGCTGTTGAAGGTTCGTTGGCTGGTAAGCACCTTGATATTGATAAGGTCTAGTTGGTACGAAACTGGACTGTTGTCCTGGTTGACTAGAAGAACCAGTGACTGCAGTTGCAGATGTTGTGGCTGCTGATGCTGCGGCTGCTGTCGATGATGACGCTGCTGCAGTTGTGTGTACATGCTGACTGCTCAGTGGCATGCCGTACATCGGTTGTTGCTGATATTGTTGTTGTTGATGTTGTTGCTGCAGATGTGAATTGTCAGCAGTTGGAGACGCTGTTGGGCGTGATTGGCTCGTAACAGAAGAGCCGTTGTTGGACCGTGGAGATCCAGACATAGTTGTAGAGTATGTAGTTGGAAGCTTGTAGTATCCTAAGACGCTCGCAATACCATGTTAGAATTTGAAGTGATTGAATAGGATCGTACTACTTAGGATGGTAGCTTCCTGTCGTAGCGGAAGTCTTTGTATGGATTAAAGCCAGTGTAGGAGGCTTTGTCTGAGCCTAATATGTAAAGCTCATGTAGTGATACATTTCAGGATCTATGTCTCTGAAATCAGGTATATTATAAAATGACAAACATACAAAGTATATAACTAGAGTAAAGTACCTATTCGCCTACTGTACTGTGCTTTTCTTGTTCTGAAACGGTACGTAACTTTTCGCGAGGTCTATAGCTACGTGCTGACGTCATCCTATGGCGCGTAGCGCTTTGCTGACGTCAGCCTATCGGTACTTTACAGTACTACACGAATTCCTTGAAGTGCTTAAGTCTCGATATTATCTCAACATGAGACACTAAAGTTTCACATGGCAAAAGCCAGTGCCATTCTAGCTCGAGGCTTGTATATGGGGTTTTCCATCATGTACATATCTCTGCATACGTATCGAATGTTGAATGTCTTTCTCTCAACCACTCTATGTGAAGTAATCAGAGTAGGGAAGGTATATGATTTCTGTGGTACAACGATGGCGTTGAGTGCACTTGCATCAGGCATCTCTATACACGGTCCTGTAAGTATTTTCTTCTCTATAATCTGCATTCGTTTTGCAGTTCGCGAGCGGGACTTGAAACGGCCAAATACAGAACAAGAGTACACTGCCGTTCAGGTGGTCGTTTGTTGTGCAGTTTCAAAGTGGCAGTTTGTTTTTGCTCATCCTGGCCATGTGTTCGCAACTCAGCACTGCCGACAAGCGTCCGTTCTCGCATGTGATTGGCCGGATTCGCCATGGGTGGAAACGTACGGACATTTCTCTGTTGCGAGCCGCGAGGACGACCAGATACACTGGATGCTTTTCGCCGCACTGCATTCAGCAGCAGGCTGAAACGCGCGAAACGCTATTGGCGACTGTTACACTACACGGATAATCCCTCGCCCGTCGCTTGCCATACTTCTTCTGAGCCTGTGTTTTCCATTGAAGCCCATGTGAACTCAACCATGGATATACTTGGCTTCAGTAACCTGCTCTCGACCAATCACAACCGTACTCTTCCCTGACTTTCCGACGTCCTGGTTATCAAGTATGCACCACGCTCGATACAAAGTCAGAAACTCGACCTTTCCCACAACGTTTTGTGGAGTGTCAGTTCTGTACTAGTTCCGCAGTCACTAACGAGACAACGACTTGTCCTGTGGTAAACCAACCTAGCATTGCAGACCGCGAGCCCTCATTTGTCGAACAAGCTTCCATTTATCGAACTAGCCGTAATTCCTCAAACGAGGCGTCGTTTAGATCTGAACAGCTCCATCCGTCCATCATGGCACCGCGACCTAACCAACCCTCGCTCCGCCTCCGCTCCCCGCTCCTCCCGCTGCTCCTCTCGTCTCTCCTCGCGTCGCTGGCGATTCTTTCGGCCCGCGCGGGGAGCCCGGCCGACGACGAGGCGGCGCTCATCGCGTTCAAGCAGGCCATCCACGTGGACCATCTCAATGTCCTCGAATCCTGGACGTCCGATCGCCCAATCTGCTCCTGGGAGGGCGTCTCCTGCCGAAGCGCCGCCCCGCAACGCGTCATCGGCCTGACCATCTCGCAGGGCTTCCTCGAAGGTTCGCTAACGCCGGAGATCTCAAAGCTGGACCAGCTGAGGAGGCTGCACGTGGACGGCGGGATGCTCTCTGGGAATATTCCGCCGCAGTTGGCGCAGCTCCGCTGGTTGACGAGCGTTGATTTGAGCAGTAACCACCTGACTGGCGAAATCCCTCCCAGCTTTTCTCTCCTGTTAAATCTGCACAATCTCGCCCTCCGTTCCAACAATTTCACTGGGGCAATTCCCCCAGAAATCTTCCGCCTGCCGAAACTCGAGACACTCGCCCTTGAACTCAACAGCCTCACGGGTGCGCTGCCCGATGGTCCGGGAAGCTACAGCCTGAGCCTCGTGTCCCTCAGCCTCGGCGTGAACTACCTCTCCGGACCTATTCCCAAGGCTCTCGGCGGGCTTCCGAACCTGGTTCAGCTAGACCTACACCAGAACTCGTTTTCCGGACCTATTCCACCGGAGCTCGGCGCGCTTGGGAAACTGGAGTACCTCGATATAAGCAGTAACCAGCTGACTGGTGGTATACCACATGCGCTGGCAGGGCTTTCGTCGCTCCAGGCGGGGATTTTCTCGAACAACCTGCTGAGCGGCGTGGTTTCGCAGCCGTTTTTGGTCGGAATCGCGTCCACTATAGACGTCCTCGATGTAGGCAGGAACGCTTTTACAGGCTCGATTTCGCGGTTTTCGTTGCTGACGAATGCGGTGTACATCGAACTGAGTAACAACAATTTTGTGGGGGGGATCACGAAGGCGTTTGGCACAATGCCGAACCTGCAGCAGCTGGGGCTGTCCGATAACGAGCTGACAGGGGGCATCCCCGCGACCATCACTGAATCCAGCAGCCTCGTCGTGTTCTCCGCGGACCGCAATAAGCTGAGAGGTGAGCAGGGAGCGTAGTTTTTTTTTTGTTTTGTTTTGTTTTTTGTTTTTTTTTTTTTTTTTTTCAGTTGGACTGAGTCTCCTTACGCGTTTGTATCACATGGTCTCGCCTTTCTATACTCTCATTCCCCTGACAAATGCCACTTTTCCCCGTTGAATGTCTCTCACACCTGTCTTCCTCGTTTTCACCATTCTTTCCCCATTTCTCCACATCACAGGAAGCATACCTCCCTTCCGCTGCACCAACACCGGATTCATGGCTCTCACAGTGTCCGGAAACTCCTTCCAGGGAGGCATTCCCCGGAGCCTCACCAGCTGTAACAGCAGCCTCTATGTGCTTGACGTCAGCCACAACAACCTATCGGGCCCAATCCCTCTCTTTCTCGCGGATTTAGTCGAGTTACGGAACCTCTCTCTTGCTTATAACAACTTCTCGGGAGGTGTTCCGTATAAGCTGGGGTTTCTCGCCAATTTGGTGTCGCTGGACGTGTCCTGGAACAACCTGGAAGGCCCCCTGACTGCGCTGTACCCGATGAAGCCTCTGGATGACCTGCAGCTTGCGGGAAACAACCTGACTGGCCCGATTCCTTATGCGTTTAGGCTGTTTCCAAAGGCATCCTTTCAGCCTGAAAACCCTGGGCTTTGTGGAAGTCCTTTGCCAAACAGGTGCCCCCCACGTGTGGTGGACTAATGAATGGGGGAAGGGGTCTCATCTTGGGACGCGATGAGTTTTGTTTCCACATGAAGTCGAGATGTTTCTGTGTATGTAATGTATTATGTGTACTTATCATGCACCAGAAAAGGTGGATCTAGTAACATTATACGTATTACTCCGTTGAGTGTCAACTTTGATGCATGTGCAGTCTTAACGACAAACGGTTCATCTTCAAAGAGATATTCAGTACCTCCAGATCACGCCACCCGATTGGTGAGAAGCAGTTCAATCATCCAATCACCGTAGCCCAGTTACCCAACCTTTGCTCTCTCCCCGCCGCAACCCCGCCAGCGCGGATTGCAGCTCAGCCGTCAAAACACCACCTTATTCAAAGTGACAATCTCTAGGTGCTTCATAAAAGTGGCATCCACCAGACAATCCCTAGGCGCTTCCTTGTGTTTTGTCACGCGGGTCTGTTACAGAGCTCGTGCGCTGACCTGACAGCTGACAAAGCTGATCAGTGAACAAAAAGGCGAAGCGATTCCTAGCACGAGGACACTGACGGATACTGACTGATAACAAAAGCACTTGTCTAGTCTCGTCCGTGCATGGTCTCGCTGATTGCACCCCTCGTTTTCAAGGACAGGCATTCAACCCCTGCACTGCACTGGCATAGGTTCCTCGCTCCAGATTCGCCGGTGGTCCTGTTCAGGCTGTAACTCCCTGGTGCATCTCCACTGTCCAATCCATCCCCCATGGCTCTCGCGACGACGTCCATAGTGACCCGGACTGTCGCTCTTTCAGGTCAGCCATGTGATCATGTTTCGTTCCGCTCGTGCGTATTAATGCACGTAGATGATCTCTGGTCATCGTTCAATGACGCATCCACGTTACTGTCGGTTCGCCCCATACGCATGAGAAAAACGTCGGGCGATAGTGGTGACTCTACTGCTGGTGTTGTGCTGAATATTAGCTGGGACTGTCGGTTCGCCCCAGCCGCATTTTGAGTCGCTTATGAAATGCAGATAGGTACTGCGAGCATTAGCTCAAAACTTCCAGCATATTCAAGGCCTCCTCGTGAGTTCATGCAAGACCAGAGATGGGCTAGATATCTCCATCCCCTCATTGCATCAACCCCTCATCAAGCGTCCCACTCTCTCCTTCGTTCCCTCCACCCAATCGCAGGACCTTCCTCCCTGGTTCCAGCATCGTCGCGCCTAACTCAGTCAAGCGCTTCAAACGTGTCTCGTAGAGCCTGCAGAAATTTCTCTAAGATCCATAAACCGGCACCGGCCGTTTTCCGCGAGTCAATCTCAGCCCCTCCCCTGGCCGCCGACTGCCTCCCCCGCTCTAGGCCTCTTGCTGCTTCCACCACTGCCAAGGCTGCTGCCTCGGCTGTTGCCGAGCCTGCGCAGGAGCTTCGGGGTGCTGGGCCAGTGGTGGTGGTTGATAATTATGACAGCTTCACTTACAACCTTTGCCAGGTAATCTCCCTCTTTCGCTGCCAGGTCATCTTCCTTCTTCTTGGTAAATAAATAGGCAACCTGGGATGTTCCCTACTTTCGATTTTCCACCAAGGAGTCGCATCTTCTCCTTCTCACTGGTGGTTGTTGTTATTGCTTGCCTGTGCTGTGAGCAGTACCTGGGTGATCTGGGGTGCGAGCACGTGGTGTACCGTAACGATGACATCACCATTGACGACCTGCAGAAGTGAGATCACTTATGAATGCAGAGCAGACAACCAGCTTGGCTTCCAGCTCAAGGAAACTAGTAATTATCTGCGTATTCGAGTATGCTCGGCCATTTTTTATCGTTCGCCCAATCCTTGCTTGTACGCTTTTCCATTATCCCATCTTTGTTGCTTGCCCACTCCCCTCCCTCGCTGTTTTTCCATATTTTGTTTTCTCCAGAATGGACCCCAGGGGGGTGCTCATCTCTCCAGGCCCTGGTACGTCACCTCAAACCCTGCTGCTGTTGAGAGTTCCCCAAAGTCAAATGAGTTTATCATGACATCTTCGTGCTGTTGCTTCTGTGTCATCTTTTACTTCAAAATTGTGGCTTCATTTCCAGCCGCAGTCCAATCTCAGCGATTGCGCTTGCGTTTCCAGTAGATTCTGCTCCTCACAGAATCCCTGCGTATACTGCAACCACACATTGCACAGCATATCCCAAAGTTGTGCTAATGATATGCTTGATCTTTTTCCAACTTATCTTTGTGAATCACGCCCCCCGTTTGAAACACATAGCCCCACTTTCCCCATGGCACCCCTTTCCAACTGCCAGGCATGCCAACGACTTGTGCAATGCACTGGGTGTGGTGCATATCCCAAAGTTGTGCGAATGATATGCTTGATCTTTTTCCAACTTATCTCTGTGAATCACGCCCCCCGTTTGAAACACATAGCCCCACTTTCCCCATGGCACCCCTTTCCAACCGCCAGGCATGCCAACGACTTGTGCAATGCACTGGGCGTCGTGCAGTAGCGAGAGCTCAGCTCAGCTCACTGGTGTGCCGTACTCTTTGCATCCATCCCCAGTCAACTCCCCCAGGCACGCCACATGACTCGGGCATATCGCTGGACGGGGTGCGGCGCCTGCGGCCATCTGCTGTGCTCCCGGTCATACCATCATCTTCCCCACTCCCCTCCCCCCTTTCCCACTCTCTCCCCCTTTCCTCCCCATGCCTCACTCAACCCACCACCAGGCACGCCAGACGACTCGGGCATATCGCTGGACGTGGTGCGGCGCCTGGGGCCGACCGTGCCCCTCTTTGGTGTATGCATGGGGCTGCAGTGCATGGGGCAGGCATATGGCGGTGCGTTGCGTTGCGTTGTCTGTGTGGGCTGTTTGCACGGGGCAGGCTTATAAGTTTGAGTGCTCTTTTTTGAGACGTCTCAAAACTCTGTGTGGGTTTTGACACGTCTGAAACCTCTGTGCTGGTTGTTTGGCACGGTGCAGGCTTATAAGGTCGAGTGCTCTGTCTGTATGGTGTTGACTGTGGAGTTGGCGGTTGTTGAGTGTATGGGGTTGACTGTGGAGTTGGCGGTTGTTGAGTGTATGGGGTTGCACTGCAGTGCGTCAGGAAGAGAGCTTATGATTTCAGCTCAATTTTTAAACCCTGAACCCTTATCCAGCCCCTCCCATCAATTCTGAACCCTTAGTAAACTTGCATCCTCTCAGCTAGGTGCGCTAAACCCTCAACAACAGAACTTCAACTGTACACCAGGTTAACCCTGAACCATGAATGCTTGGCAGGGCACATGGTGTGGGCTCCAGGGGCCGTGATGCACAGCAAGGCATCCGCTGTGGTGCATTCCATGGCGGAGAGTGACTTCAACCTCACCCTAACCGTGTGAATCCTGAACCGCGATTGCATGGCAGGGCGCATAGTGCGGGCTCCAGGGGGCGTGATGCATGGCAAGACGTCACCTGTGCTGCACTCCATGGCAGAAAGTGACTCAGGGCTGCTGGCTGGACTGCCAAGGTGGGTGCACGTGAGGAGAAGGGGGATGGGGAAGGGCAGCTGGCAAGACTGCCAAGGTGGGCGTAAGGGGGTGTAAGTTACATAGGTGTTTTATTGCGCATTGCTCATGTCAGCCGGCTTAAGTCCACCACAACCCTTTGGATTCGAGGCGACCCAAATCGACATCTCAACCATTCCCTCCCCAACCCTCTCTGCTTCCCGCAACTCCCTTTTTTTCCGCCATCAACCCCTTCACAAAGAGCTGGCGTGCCTGGTAACTGGCAAGGGCTTGATTCCTTAGGAGAAGTTCGAAATGACTGCTCATCCTTTTCAATACCTTCTGATATGATTTTTTGAGACGTCTGAAAGAACAGAATGACTGCTCCTCCTTTCGACCCCAAGATTCCCCCCTTCCCCTCGACCATCAGCCCCTCCACCACCAGCCCCTTTACCGTTTGCCGATACCACAACCTGGTGATTGAGAAGGACACATTCCCTGAGACGATTTTTGAGGCGCCTCAAGGACACATTCCCTGAGGACGAGCTGGAGGTGACTGCGTGCCCTTTTCACCACCTTGGCTATTTGCGCCCCACATCCCCCCCCCTTTCCATCACCAGCCCCTTCACGGCGTGTCGGTACCACAGCCTGGTGATTGAAAAGGACTCATTTCCTGAAGGCGAGCTGGAGGTGACTGCATGGACGGAGGATGGGCTCGTCATGGCCGTGCGGCACAAGAAGTACACCCACGTTGAGGTGAGTGGGCGTGTGATGCAAAGGGAATAAGTATGTTGGATACACTCTCCTGACCTGAGGATGGGCTCGTCATGGCCGAGCGACACAAGTATACCCACGTGGAATTGAGCGGGCTTGTGGGTTTGGAGATAGTAGTTGAGTTGAAGTTCAGACACTCTGTTGACTGATAGGTGGGCTCGTCATGGCCGTGACAGTGAGCGAGTGTGCTGATGCCATTAGCAAGTGTTCCAACCATTCACAGTGTTGTTGTATACCATTTGTTGGGTCCCTCCCATTTCGCATCCCCCCTCGTTCTCCTCTGCCTTTGCTCCCTGCGCCACCTCCTCTCCATGCACCAGGGGGTGCAGTTCCACCCAGAGAGCATCATCACGAGCAACGGCAAGGAGATTGTGGCAAACTTCCTCAAGACCATGGACCGCTACTGGGGCAATTAGAACACCACAAAAGACAGTTCGAGGTGCTTTATAATGCTGCAAAGAAGTGACGCAAGCAGTGTAGCAGCATTGATAGAAATGCTGCAGTTGGTGAGGTTTGGGAAGAAGTTCAATGTCAAGGCAAGGGATGCAGCCGCAAGTTCAACCGACCTCAACATGCCGCTATGGTACAATGCGTATGGAGATAACTCGCAATTAAAGATTGTTACAGGATCATGCGTGTTTCTCTGCGTATGTTGTGTGACGTCATTATGTATTAATACGAGCAAAGAAGGCCGGGATGGTCTTTTGTATCTTACTTTACCTGAGTGAGCTGTGTAGTTGCCCTGTCACCTGTCGTGATTAACTTATTCGAGTTTACCTATGCGTGAATGTCTCACCTCACACACAGTATCAGCCAATCACGTCTCTGACATTTGGTGCAACCCCGCCATAGGCCGATCGAAACTGTTGCTGGGAGGTCCCATTGTACCGAGGCGCACGCTCTTTTACATAAGATTTTACGGCTTCCTTTCTCCTCCGGACTTAAGAAAGATTTGACACGGTAAATTTGCGTGCTCTAATGTTGCAGTGAGTTATAATACGGTGCAGAAGAGTGCCCGTCCATTCTCTGATTACCTCAAACTCTCTTCCCCTCCTCCTGTCCCTTTCCTTTCCTATGCCTTGGAATGTCCGCTGTCCTCACCCTGCAATCTAAGTTTACACATGCGGGTGGTGAACGGAGGGCGAGGCTGATGGGACGGAGAGTGGTGTTCGACGGCGCTCCAGATGCTCCAGTTCGCGTAATAGATAGCTGCCATATAGTGTTAGTGCTTGCGTTCTGTAGGAGATTCTGAAATTAGTCTGTCGCGCAGGTTGTACGAGTTACGCGCATGTCGATCAATGGACCAGGCTCGGTCCGTCTCGATTCCGTCAGTCCATCCCAGCGAGTGGTTCAAGAGCATCAGAGATGTTGTACGCTCCACCACTATGGGTTGTTCCGCGTTTCTCTTTGGCGAGGACGCCGATGGGATGGGACCTGCCATGACCCGCTGGACCATCGAGGTTCGTCACATCGCATCTCCGTCCCGTCGATAGACGTCGGTAGGCAATTTTTCAAGTTTCGTAAGATTTGCCGACTTTCTTGAAAGCGTCTTCGTCCCCGTGCCTTAGACCACTGCGCAGAACGGGGGCTATTCAGCAGTCGCAGAGGGTGCGTTTTAAGCACCCTTCGTGTAAGTCCGCAAACAGTCCAATCTCTCAGCGATTTGATCCGGACCCTTGTTCTCTCCTAAGCGGTTTGCGTAATCTCGAGAATGCCGTATAACCCTCGAGGATGCTGTACCATGCCTCGAGTGTAGCGAGTGTACGGCTTGTGGCAAAGATCCAGTTTATATTTTCGTGATGGCGTTGAAGCCTCTTTTATGAGCATCTCCTTTTTTAATCTCCTGCTACTTACGGTCTGCTCTGCTTTCATAATCAAACCCCGCGATTCGTCTATTTGCCCCTAAATTAACGCTTTCCAGGATATCGAGGAGCGATATGATCAGAGCCTACGTGGCAGCATACTTTCCAGGGAGGATCCCTCTTCCACGTCCGACGTGGCAGCAGCATCGTCCACTGTCAGCAGCGGCGTTCCGACATCCCTACACCCCGAAGGTTCTAGGCAGCAATCAGCTGAGCAAGCAGCGTCGCAGAGGCCGCAGGTCAGTCGTATTTGTATTTCTAAGGCGCCTAAAAAATAATTCCCTGCACCTTGAAGGCTCCAGGCACCAGCCAGCAGCGTCGCAGCGACCGCAGGTCAGTCGGGGTTTCATTTTTCCACACACACACACACACACACACACACACACACACACACACTCACACACACACACACACAAACACACACACACACACACACACACACACACACACACACACACACACACACACACACACACACATATATATTTCTCAAACATAGGTCCCTACACCCCAGGTCAGTCTGAGTGACCTGGTTTGTCAACAGGCGTCCGCAACCTCACCGACACTGCTCGTGCCTGTTCGCACGTATTCGTGTGCCTCTGTCTGTCTGCAGACATACGTCAATGAAGTTGCAGAGTGTCTGGAGTCCGTTCGGCTCACAAACACAGCTGCCGTGCTGAGGGAACAGGCGGTGAGGTAGGGCGGGGTTGCACCTCTCGTTCCTCTTTTCTGTGTGCCCCATTCCAGCCCCACAGACTGCACGGGCCCCACATGCCCCACACGCACGAGCCGAACAGGCCGAGACGGTGGGGCAGTGCACGGCACCTGTTCCTTTTCTCCCATCATCCCTTGTTCCCCTCCATACTCCACCGCAAGCCCACTCACACGAGCGCGCCCCCCTGCCGCTGTATCCGACGGTGGAACTGAGGCTGAGGGAGCTGAGGGAGCTGAGGGAGCTGAGGGAGCTGAGGGAGCTGGCGGAGGCAGTGGAGCGGGACAATACACCCACTCCTTTCCCCTCTCCCCACCCTGCAAATGCGGCCTTGTACCCGCCAGACTCATGTGCAGTCGCAGTCAGTGGAGTCAAGAGAGGCCTGTGAGCGCAAGGCCCTGCCATTGTATCCCACAGTGGAGCTGAGGGAGCTAGCAGAGGCGGTGGGGCGGGACATCATGCGCGGCAATCCCGAGGTGACGTGGAGCAGCATCAAGGGGCTGGGCGGCGCCAAGCAGCTGCTCAAGGAGGCCGTGGTCATGCCCATCAAGTACCCGCAGTGAGTGTGTGCTGAGTTGAGTTGTATCTGTGTGTAGCACGTGTGGTTGGGCCTGTGAGTCGGTGTGGCTGCACGCTCTTTTCCAAGCAGCTGCTCAAGGAGGCCGTGGTCATGCCCATCAAGTACCCGCAGTGAGTGGCACGTGGTGTGTTGAGCTCTTATTGTGTCTGTGTGTGTGGTGCCTGTGAGTTGGGATAGTAGCATGCACGGCGCGAAGCAGCTGCTCAAGGAGGCCGTCGTCATGCCCATTAAGTACCCGCAGTGAGTCAAGCTGCTTGTTGTGCTGAGCTGAGTTGCGTTGCGTTGCGACTGTGTGTGTTGCGCCTGTGAGTTGGAGGGGCTGCACTGCACGGTCACAAGCAGCTGCTCAAGGAGGCCGTGGTGATGCCCATCAAGTCAGTGAGTTGCTGCACTGGGTGCGGTGAGAGTCGAGATGGCTTTGTTGCGGTGCTGTGCTGTGTTGCACATGTGAGTTGGAGAGAGGCTGCACTGCACGGTGCCAAGCAGCTGCACTCATGGAAACTGTTGTCACGCCAATCAAGTCCGCCACCTCGCACTTACTCGTGCTGGCTGTACTCTTCCTCTTCCTTACCCCTGCCCCATGGAAGGGCATCCTGCTTATTCAGCACACCTCAGTACCGCCCAGTATCGAACCGTACTGTACGCCACCCTTCCTTCGTCACCTCCTCCTTTCCCCTCCCTGCACCAGGTACTTCACGGGTCTGCTCGCCCCATGGAAGGACGTTCTGCTCCTCCACCACACTACACTACCACACAGTACCAAAAGGAACCGCACTCCACCCTTTCCCCATCCCCTCCCCATGCCCTTCATCATCCATGCACCAGGTACTTCACGGGTCTGCTCGCCCCATGGAAGGGCATCCTGCTCTTTGGGCCCCCTGGAACTGGCAAGGTAATTCCTCTAGTGTCGCCCACTCAGTCTACTCGTCCACTCACTTTCTGTGTCACCCACTCACACATTCTCTCTCACTCACCATTGTCACTCACTCACTCACTCACTTATTCACTCTCTGGTCACTAGTGTCACAGACTGACTCAGCCCCCATATTGCACCCTCCTCTCGACCCTACACCCCCACATCGCCTGAACCCACAGACGATGCTGGCCAAGGCAGTGGCAACGGAGTGCCGCACCACCTTCTTTAACGTCTCTGCCTCCACCCTCGTCAGCAAGTGGCGCGGTTAGTGAGCCACGAGCGGTGAGGCGCGGAAGTTAGATTGCAGGAATGGTGAAGCGTGGTGAGTGAGCGAGGTGGCCACGGAGTGTCGCACCACCCCTTTCAACGTCTCTGCCTCCACGCTCGTCAGCAAGTGGCGCGGTGAGTCAGCAAGTGGCGCGGTGAGTGAGCAAGTGGCGCGGTGAGTGAGCAAGTGGCGCGGTGAGTGAGCAAGTGGCGCGGTGAGTTAGCAAGTGGCGTGGTGAGTCAGCAAGTGACGCGGTGAGTGAGCAAGTGGCGCGGTGAGTGAGCAAGTGGCGCGGTGAGTCAGCAAGTGACGCGGTGAGTCAGCAAGTGGCCCGGTGAGTCAGCAAGTGGCGCGGTGAGTCAGCAAGTGGCGCGGCGAGCCAGCAAGTGGCGCGGCGAGCCAGCAAGTGGCGCGGCGAGCCAGCAAGTGGCCCGGTGAGCCCATTGGTTCGAAACACCAAGCCATCATCTAATTCTGTTTGGATAGGTGAAGGGAGATTGGAACAAAGCATGAGCTTTGAGGCGCAGCTGTTTGGGCTGGCGCACACCAGCTGTTTGGGCTGGCGCACACCAGCTGTTTGGGCTGGCGCACACCAGCTGTTTGGGCTGGCGCACACCATGGTTGGGTAAAAAGGCATCCTCCTGTCACCCTCCCCAACCCCACAGGCGACTCAGAGAAGCTGGTGCGAATTCTCTTCGATGTGGCACGCTCCCTAGCGCCCTCCACCATATTCCTGGACGAGGTGGACTCTCTCATCAGCCACCGCGGAGGGGGCACCGGCGAGCACGAGGCCAGCAGACGACTTAAAACAGAGCTGCTTGTTCAGGTGGCGGGGGGGGGGACATGGGGGTTGGGGAGGGGAACATGGGGTATGAGGGTATGAGGGCAGGAGAGCCCCATCCATTATCTTCCTGAACGAGGTGGATGCACTCAGCCGCCGGGGGGGCGGCACGGAGGAGCACGAGGCCAGCAGCAGGCGCCTCAAGAGTCAAGACAGAGGTGCTGGTGCAGGTGGGGGAGGGGGGTACGATTAGTATGGTTTGTGGTGGGGTACGATTAGTATGGTTTGTGGTGGGGTATGAGCGTATGAGGGCAGGAGGGCGAGCACGAGGCCAGCAGCAGGCGCCTCAAGACAGAGCTGCTGGTGCAGGTGGGAGGGGAGGGGTGGAGGCGTGGGGCATGGGGAGGGAGCATGGGATTCTGTAGGGTACGACGAGAGTATGAGGGCAGGGGGCCCATCTGCGACGATTTTTTAGGCGCCCAAAGAATGGTTCTGTAGGGTACGAGAGTATGAGGACAAGGGGCCCATCTGCAGTGCGTGTCCAACTTGTCTTTGCTCTCACTGCTGTGTCTCTCACCTGCCAGCACCGCTCTGAACCGTGCTGTGCGTGCAGATGGACGGGCTGAGCAGCTCATCCGACCTGGTGTTTGTGCTGGCCGCCACCAACCTCCCTTCACCGCTCTTAATCGTGCTGTTACCTGCGTGCAGATGGACGGGCTGAGCAGCTCATCGGACCTGGTGTTTGTGCTGGCCGCCACCAACCTCCCTTCACCGCTCTCAACCGTGCTGTTGCCTTACCTGCGTGCAGATGGACGGGCTGAGCAGCTCATCCGACCTGGTGTTTGTGCTGGCCGCCACCTACCTCCCTTCACCGCTCTCAACCGTGATGTTACCTTACCTGCGTGCAGATGGACGGGCTGAGCAGCTCATCCGACCTGGTGTTTGTGCTGGCCGCCACCAACCTGCCCTGGGAGCTCGACACTGCCATGCTGCGCCGCCTCGAGAAGAGGGTGAGTCTACTGACATGGCATGGCGTGATGATTCTCAAAAGAAACGCCACATTTGGATCTGATGTTTCGACATGACTCATCGCATCCATTCACCGGCACACAGGCAAGCTGCCTCCACTCCTTCCCTCAGCCTCTCCGCTCCTCTCCTCCTGCAATTTCTCCTCCTTCTCCTCCCGCTATTCCCACTTTGCCTCCGGACCCTGGTGCGTCTACCTGCTGTGCTGCCCCTCTGAGTCGACTCAAAAGTCCTCCTGCTCCGCACACCCCCTCCTTCCAGATCCTGGTGCCTCTACCAGACTCAGACGCCCACAGAGCCATTCTCTCCTCGCTGCTGCCACGACCTCTCAGGGCTGCATCACCCTGTCTGCTCTCTCCCCTCCCATCCCACTGCCCTGCCTCTTCATGCGCCGCCACTTCCAAATCCCCGTGCCTCTACCAGACTCACCGGTTGCTGCCACTCTTAGAGTCGACTCAAAAGTCCTCCTACTCCTTCCCCCCTGTCCCCACCAGATTCTAGTACCTCTACCAGACTCAGACGCCCGCAGAGCCATTCTCTCCTCGCTGCTGCCACGGCCACACAGGGCTGCTCAGACGACCACTGCCCTGCACACACAGGCGCGCGCCCAAACAGATGCTCACAGAGCGGGGCACGATGGTGGTGCAGAGAGAAAAGATGGTGGTGCAGAGAGAAAAGATGGTGGTGCAGAGGCGTGTGTGGATGGTGCAGCGGGGACAGAGGGTGGAGGAGCAACGGCTGGTCGTGACTGTGTGGGGGTAAGGTGGAGAGGGGCCAACGGGGTGGTGGCGGTGCAAGCTAATGGCTGCCCTGAAATGCCGAATGGCTGTTCTGAAATGCCTCAGAAGGCGATGGGGGCACGGGGGGTTGATAGCAGCTGGTGCGTGGTTGCACAGAGCAAGGAGATTGAGGAGGAAGGAAGCAGGGAGGACGATTGGGGGTGTGGCGGAGAGCAGAGAAGAGACGAGCAGGGAGTGAGTGAGCATGAGAAGCAGAGGGAAGAGGAGCGAGGGGAGGAGAGGGAACGGGAGAAGGAGTGGGAGGAGGAGATTGATATAGAGGGTGTGGTGGATGCAACGGAGGGGTATTCGGGCGCTGACATGCGGCTGCTGTGCAAGGAGGCTGCCATGCAGCCCCTGCGCCGCCTCATGGCGCTCATTGATGGGGGGGAGAATGGGAGGGCGGGGGAGAAAGGCGAGATGGAGAGGGGGGAGAGGGGGCACAGGAAAGCGATTGGGGAGCGGGGGGAGAAGGGGGAGAGAGTGAAAATGGGGGAGGAGGGTTTGGGGGGGATGAGGGGCAAGGGGGCGGATGGGGTGAGCAGAAGCGGGGGGGTGGAGGGGAGGGAGGGGGAAAGGGCCGAACAGGAGCAGGAGCATGTGCTCGGGCCAATAACACATGAGGACATGCAGATGGCTCTGCAAGTGACCAAGGCTCTGGGTAGGGTGCATGCTGACAGGTACGTTGCTTTTGACAGGGAGTTTGGTAGCAGGTACACGTGATTCGTATGTGTGACTCGTCAGGTGATTACAAGATAGTACAGTCTGGGCTTGGCTCCTCCTCCGGGAGCTGTTGTACAGTCTGATTATGTTCATGTCCAGGGCATTCAGGTGTTCATCCAGTAAATATGGCGTTTGACCTGCCAGTAGTATTTCCACTTTATCTTTGTCATGTAATACCACGTGAATAGCTGTGCTGTGAATTTGAACTACTAGTATCGCTAAAACCAGATATACTGGAAAATCCTTTCAAGTCATTGTTCCGTAACGATGACCTTCAAAACGAGTAGGTTATTCGAGCCACGCCACAATTAGCCAGAAAAAACTGGCCAGACTGCTAACGCACCGTATTTCTCGCCGCATTTGCCGTACAATAACCATGGCTTCGCCTGCTTGTCCCTCCACTGCTCGCCATATTCCCCGCGCCGCCGACCAATCTCTCTCGTCGCGCTCCTCCTTCCGCGGCGCGTCGTCCACATCATTTCACCCCGTTCTGCAATCTGCGACTCCGCGAATCCGACAGCTGTCGCTGGCCGTCCGATGCGCATCTGACGGCGAGGATGGGGACGGAGGAGGCGGGAGCAAGTCGCGGCTGGGAAGCATCATCCGGCGGAAGCACGCTACGGTGCAGGTGGGTGAGAGTCCGTGCAGGTGATACTCTGGTGCGATTGAGGCTCGTTCGAGGCGCCTCAAAACCCGTACAGATAAGTGTGAGTCGGCTAGTAATACTAGCAATCAACAGCGCGCCGCGGCCTTGTGCCTCGTACCCCGTTCTCCCCTCCCCATCCATCATCCCTTTCTCCCCCTTCCCGCCCCTTTCCTCCTCCTCCCCCTCCCCTTCCCGTGCCCCCTCCCCCACCCCTCCCCTTCCCCGCGCGCCCGTTCCGCGCACCCGCAGGCGCGGCTGCAGCAGCTGGGGCAGGAGGAGGTGTTCTCCCCTCCCCATCCCGCGTCTCCCTCCCCCTCCCCCCCCCTTCCCCCGGTGTCCCCTTCCCCTCCCCCTGCACTTACCTCGCACGCGCGGCTGCAGCAGTTGGGGCCGCGAGGTGTTCTCCTCTCCCCACCCCCGTCTCCCACTCCCTCCCTCCCGTTTTCCCGTGTCCCCTTTCCCTGCCCCCTACGGACCCTCCCCCGTCCCTCTCCCCCGTCCCCTCCCGACTGCCCCTGCCCCTAGCAGGCGCGGCTGCAGCAGCTGGGCCAGGACGAGGTGAACCGCCGTCTGGAGGGAGCAGTGCGGCTGCACCCGCCCGCGCAGCTCACAGACCTGCTGCTGCGCGGCGCCCCGGGCGCGGAGGGCGGGGGGGGCCTGGAGGGGCCAGGGGGGGCGGAGTGGGGGCGCACGGCGCTGGTGGTGGAGATGGCGCGCGCACGCCCGTCAGAGTCCCCAGAGAGCCTCGCCAGGCGCTGCCAGCGATACATTGGCCTTGGTGTGTGTGTGTGTGTGTGTGTGTGTGTGTGTGTTTGCGTCACACCGTTTGACAGTGAAGCCCCTTCGTTTTGGAGTTTGATTCTTCCCTTTCCTTGTACTGCACCCCTGTCACTAACAATGCAGCCCTGTCACTAACACATTCATCATGCCTGTGCCCTTCCGCTCTCCCCCCTACACTCTCCGCCTTCCCCTCTTCCCCGTCCCCCCCCTTCCCACCACCCCCCCTCTTCTCACCTACCGCCCCCCCACCAGGAGCGGACACAGTGATGGTGTGCGCTGGTCTTCGCTCATACTAGAAAGTGCCACCTCTCTCCCCACTCCCACCTCTCTCCCCACTCCCACCTCTCTCCCCACTCCCACCTCTCTCCCCACTCCCACCTCTCTCCCCACTCCCACCTCTCTCTCCACTCCCACCTCTCTCCCCACTCCCACCCCCTATCCCTTCCCCCACTCCTCCCCCTCGTCTCCCCTCCTCCCCCCCCAGGGGCGGACACAGTGATGGTGTGCTGTGATGAGGAGATTTCCCCCGATGGCCTTGCTGATGTCAGAGCCGTGTCCAGAGGTGTGCTGCTGACGTCAGGCTTGTTCACAGTGGTGTGCTGCTGACGTCAATGCTGTGCTCGTATATGCAGAACCCATTTCATGCTTTTCATGATTCCATGCTTTTCACAATCCCATGCTTTTCATTATTCCATGCTTTTCATAATGCTTTTCATAATCCCATTCCTTTCATTTTCCCATGCTTGTCATAAAAAAGAAAAGAGATATCCCCTTTCTATCCATGGGTAAATTTCACCCCATTTACCGTTTTCACTGTTCCCATGCCCACCAGCCCTCCCTGGAGTGCCAGTCATAGTCAAAGACTGGATGCTACATCCCATTCAGGTGGTTCCCCTACATCCCATTCAGGTGGTCCCGCTACATCCCATTCAGGTGGTCCCGCTACATCCCATTCAGGTGGTCCCACTACATCCCAGCACTTTCAGTTGCACCTCCCATCTGATTCTCATGCCTCTGTGTTGCGGTGTAAGCATCACTCTGTCAACACACTGAATCCGTGTATTTCTGTAACCTTGGGGATGTGTGTGTGGGTACGGTTGCATGGATGGGTGAATGAACTGTGATTGTGTGAGGGAGTTTGGGCGTGAGGGTGTCTGCATGTGTGGGTGAGTGAGGGAGTGTGTGTGTGTGTGTGTGTGTGTGTGTGTGCGTGAATGAGTGAGTGGTTGCAGGTGGCAGAAGCAGCAGAGGCAGGAGCGGCGGCCTTTCATATAGTGCACGGGGTCCTCAATAAAGGTGACTCCCCGCACCCTCGTGATAGTAGTCGAGTCTTGAGACGTCTCAAAACGCGGAGGCAGGAGCAGCAGCCTTTCATATAGTACACGGGGTCCTCAATAAAGGTGATTCCCTGCACCCTCATTCATCAGCACCTCCCGACAGCCCCACAGAAAATCCTCTAATGGCGATCCTAAAAGATACTTCAACATACTGCGAAGATACTGTAAGGTACATTAAGAATCCTTGGCAGTGTGGGACAATAAGCAGCTAAATGATCCTCTTTTGCCTCCATTCTTTGCACTCTGATGGCCATCCGAGCTCAAATCCTCGATGCTCAAATCCTCGATGCTCAAAGCACCCACCCACTGTATTCACGACCCACAATGACCCCCCTGGCCTTGATGTTTTGACAGCTCAAATTAAATAGGTGCTCCCAGTTACTTTGAACTGGCCTTGATGCTATTTGACCGCCTTGTGTGTTTCATACGTTCTTGTTTGCATGTGTGCGTATGTGCATGTGTACTTTGTGCATGCATGCATGTATGAGTGTGTGTTCATGGATGCATGTAAGATGTACGTAGTGGATGCATGGATAGATGTTTGTCTGCATGTGTATTGATGGTTGCTCGCACATTCATGCTATGTGTGCATGTATGTGTGTGTGTGCATCTGTGTGCATGTGTGTGCATGTGTATGGGTATGTGTGTGCATGTGTATGGGTATGTGTGTGCAGCCACTGCTCCAATGCTCGCCTTTGCCTTTGGACTGGGAGTTGACGTGGCAGTAGAGGTGAGTCAACGCAAGTCAAACAGGTGAGTCAACGCAAGTCAAACAGGTGAGTCAACGCAAGTCAAACAGGTGAGTCAACGCAAGTCAAACAGGTGAGTCAACGCAACTCAAGCAGTCGAGTCAACGCGACTCAAGCAGGTGGGTCAATGCAGACAATTTTAGAGAGTTAGAGCCGTGAATGAACTATCGTCCATGCACAACAACGCCCTTAACGTCATCAGCATCATCCAGAGCATTGTCACAACAATGATACCACCAGCCATCACCCCAAAAATCACCCCCATGGTTTCCCTTCCCACCCCTCATACTACTCCCATCCATCCCCACCCCCATCCCCATCACCATCACCATCCCCATCCCCATCCCATCACCATCACCTTTACCATCACCATCCCCAGTGCTGCCTCTGAATTTGTCCGTTTCTCCACAACCATCACCACCCGCTTAAATCATGCCTGAGTGATCCCTTCTTTGTTTGCCTCAACCCATCATAGCCTCTATCATCGAAAATACCTTTGTTGCTGGCGCCATTGCTTACCCCCCTCCTCTCTCTCCGCCCCCTCATCAAGTGGTGAATCTGGAGGAGTTGTGATGAGGCGTCCCCTAGTCTGTCTCTTTACGCGACCCCCCTCCTCAGGTGGTGAATCTGGAGGAGCTGAAGCGACTAAAGCCTCTCAATCGAAAAATTGCTGGTTCAGGGACAATTTCTGTTGCCGCTCCCCGTCTCTCTCTTCACTGTGCCACTTCTCAGGTGGTGAATCTGGAGGAGCTGAAGCGACTAGAGCCGCTCGCCATTCCCCTCTACGGCCTCAACCTCTCTGTTGGGCTGGCAGTGAGTTCATAGGCGGCTGGCAGTTAGTTGATAGGCGGCTGGCTGTGAGTTGATAGGCGGCTGGCTGTGAGTTGATAGGCGGCTGGCTGTGAGTTGATAGACGGCTGGCTGTGAGTTGATAAACGGCTGGCTGTGAGTTGATAGACGGCTGGCTGTGAGTTGATAGATGGCTGGCAGTTAGTTTCAATGGCTGGCACAAATGCCCTTCTACACATCGCTTCACCTGCCCTCGTTCGCATGTCTCTGTCTTGCCTCCGTGCACCTGTGTGGCCATCCCCTGTCTCCCATGTGTAAGCGAGGGTTGTCGGTTCACTGTCATGAGACATACCACACATCTGTTTCCTCTCCCACATCTGTTTCCTCTCCCACATCTGTTTCCTCTCCCACATCTGTTTCCTCTCCCACATCTGTTTCCTCTCCCACATCTGTTTCCTCTCCCACATCTGTTTCCTCTCCCACATCTGTTTCCTCTCCCACATCTGTTTCCTCTCCCACATCTGTTTCCTCTCCCACATCTGTTCCCTCTGCCCCCTCACAGGTGTCGGCACCCGGCTTCAGGCAGAGTGTTGCCAAGTCGCTGCTCTCCTCCATGCCTTTTGGAGCTGCTGCTCTCGTTGTGAGTCAGCTACCACTTGCACAATGTAACAATGTTTGGTGCCAGGTATAGTGTGTATTTTGCTTAACCTGCGCAGTGCAGCACAGAATAGTGCTTCTGTAGCAGGCTGCATTTTTGTGTGCTGCAATTACAAGGTCTAAAGGCCTCTCCAGTATTGCAATCCTTGTAAGCATCCTTCCATGGCTCGTGCATTTGTATTCGGCTTTGTTCATCCTTCAAAGCACTAAAACCGAAGCATGCCTGTTGATGGTCTGGTTACATGGTTACCACACAGGGTGCCTCATCTGTGGAGGACGTGCGGATGATGAAGGCGGCAGGTGCGACGGCAATTGTGCTCAAAAGGGAGGTGTTTAAAGGGATGGAGGGCGGTAGCACGGGGTTGGGAGAGAGGGAGGAGGAGAAGGCCTTGCAAGATCTGTTTGAGACTCTCAATTACATCTTGACTGGCGATGACTAATGTTTACTCGAGTTGACTGATGTCGACTGTGAGAAGGCCTGCTGACAACTGGTGGTGCCCTTCTATCACGGGCATTCTGGAGCAGGTAGATTATGACTTGCTCATACATTTGGTAGAGGAGAGGGTATTGGAGGGCGGTGAAGGGTTCCTGAGCGCAGCAACTAAGTGTTCTTTGTTACGTACCACCCCAAACAGAAGACACAGCCTTGTTGAATGAGGAAACAGGCCGGTAAAAAAGGAAAGGCTGCCCCTGATAATATATCAGGCTGCTCCTGTCTAGGCAGACCGCTACTAGCTTTCCTGATAAGCATGATCTTCCTGAAAACAAAGTCTGCTTCTGACCTGACCAGACTGTTGGAAACACATAGTTGGCGCTTCTGAAGTATCGAAGTAATAACATGAACGAAGCAGACTACAGTGAAGCAACAAGCGAGTCAACCAAGGAGGTTAACAAAACGTAACAGCTGGAAGTTACGCGAAGGTCAAAGGTCAGCGACCCTTGACTTGACGAAATACAGCGCGACAGCAAGGACAAACAACTGACTCAGTATTGAGAAGTTGCCCGAGTTGCTACTGTATCGAACCGCAACAGCAAAACAGTTAGTTGCACCTTTTCATATTCCTTGTAATCTTATAAAAGCCTTTGTATTACCTTGCTATAATCAATCTCTTGCTCTCACACACTAGTGCAAGTTGGTTCAACAAGGTTACTAGGAACGCTTCCGCAATTACAACATCTCTACTCCAAGTCTTAGCCTTTAAAAAATACTAAGGGCTTCTTCTCAACCCAACATGGTATGAGAGCCTCCAAGGCAAGATCAACTACTCAAACTCCTACAACAGCACAAGGCATGGCAACTCAGAAGGAGAGGAGTTCCTCCAACGGATCTCCCGGCACTACTCTTACTCCACCTCCAGCCTCTGGCCTACAGACAGAGGAAGGCACAGCAACAAGACCAGCTGCGGAGTCTACCGAAACTCCCGCGAATCAAACAACAGGCTTCGACCTAAGCATGATGGAGAAATTTTTCTCCTTCATGTCCTTCTACGAGCAACACCAGCAAACAGCACTTGCGCCATGAAACAACAGCAACAACAACAACGATGTCACACCCATGAGTCTCGACGGCTCATCCTACGCGTGCCGAAACCAGCAACAACCTACTTTCGCTCCGTACGAGCCCCAACGCGGCTCCATCAGCTTCATGCCACACCAGCCTTCACCTGGACAAGAGAAGACACTGGACGCGCTTCAGATACAGTCACAATTCGCACATGTTTTAAAAATACAAACGCCAACGCCTTTCGACGGGAGAGACTTCTATACCTGGTCATTTGAGTTCGAGCTGATGATGGAGGGCGCGCAAATTCTTGGATTCTTCGACGGGTCCCTGCCATACCCAACACATGGGACAAAATATGACAAGCAGCAGTACACATATAAGTCGTTGATGGCGTACACGATACTTCTACGGAATATAACGCCAAACGAGCAGCAGAACATCCGGTCCTATCGTGAATACGGCAACTCCGCTGAGCTCACGTACAACCACCTGAAGAATCTATATCAGGCAACAGACAGCGTTAATCAGAGTAGTCTTATGGCACAACCGACAACAGTGGAAATGAAACCAGGCGAAAAGGGAATGGCTTATATCAGCCGTTGTCGCGGACTACGCGATAGACTCCTTCGATGCGGTGGATCGATATCCGAAGAAGCCTTCGTTACAGTCGTCATCACTGGCCTCGGTCCTCATTGGCGCTCCACTCGAGCCATTCTCCGAGCCCACTCGGTTATAACTTACTCAGCGTCAGTCAACTAATGGCGAAGGGAATTCATATCGAAGCAGACAACACCACTCAGGAGTTCAAGATGTACCACGGGAGAGGTGGACTATACATCGGCAAGGCAGTCTTGAATAACAATGTCTTCGTTCTTGACTTCGTTCCAGACCAAGGCACCGCCGACAGCAGGTGTAAGCATGTAGGTATATATATATAGAGATCACAGTACAAGCAGAGTCAAGAAGTGAGCAAGTGAGGGAGAGTAGGCACAAGGCCTAGAACAGTACAGAAACGCTGATGGTCACAAGGCTGAAGCGCCTTGGTGAACACATCAGCAGTGTTGGCCCGAGTGGCCACGTAACGCAGACGAAGCTGACCACGCTGCTGCAGCTCTCGAGCAAGGAAGTAACGCAGAGCGATGTGCTTCGTTCTGTGCTCCAGTCTGTGCTCCTCACACAAGGCAATGGCTGCCTTGTTGTCGACGTACAGCACTGGAGAAGAACGAGGCCGCTCTCCGAGGTCGGTCAGCAGGTAGGTGAGCCAGCGTAGCTCCTGGGCAGCCATGGCTGTGGCGTAGATCTCAGCCTCACAACTGGAGCTGAGAACAGAGGAAGAGCGAGTAGAACGCCAGGAAACAGAGCCAGAGCCAAGGCTGAAGGTGTAACCCTGAGACGACCGCTGCGTAGCCTGGTCGTCAGCCCAAGAAGCGTCTGAGTGGCCAGTGAGGACAACTCGAGCCCGTCCTCCAAGCACAAGCCCCATGCCCGACGTACTGCACAAGTAGCGCAACACCCTCTTAGCTACATCCATGTGCTCCTTCCGGTGACGGCCAGGAGCGACATAGCGTGCTAGAATGCTAAGAGGGTAGGCTAGGTCAGGTCGTGTGCAGGTCATCAGGTACATGAGGCAGCCCACAAGCTCTGGATACGGGCCACTCGGCTCTACGGACTCATCCGAAGGCAGAGCTGAGAGCGAGTGACCGGTAGGCAGAGGAGTGGGCTGAGGCGAGGAGTACGTGAAGCGGAAGCGCTGAAGGACCTGCTGCACCATGTGTGACTGAGTCAAGGTGATGGTGCGCTGTGCTTTGTCCCGGGTGATCCGCAAGCCAAGATAGCTTGTCAGCTCACCCAGGTCTGTGCACGTGTGTCTCTTCTGCAGCTCCGACTTCACGTGGGCGAGTGCCTCAGTGTCAGCAGTAGCAAAGACCAAGTCGTCGACGTACACGAGGATGTAGAACGGCGGCATCGAGGTGTCGGTGCGTAGAAACAGCGACGGGTCAGCAGTAGAAGGAGCAAACCCAAGAGCCGCAAGAGTAGTCCTCAGTGTGTCGTGCCACTCACGGGGCGCCTGGCGGAGACCGTAGACTGGCCGCCGGAGGCTCCACTGGGTACCAGGAGGGAACGTCCCAGTGAAGCCAGGTGGGCGGCGCAGCCAGATCTCCTCGTGCAGGGTGCCCTGTAGGAAAGCAGTGCTGAAGTCAAGGCAGTGGAGCTCGTAGTCACGCTGAGCAACGACGTGCAGCAGAACCCGAAGAGTGGTCATCTTCGGGGTCGGGGAGAAGGTCTGGAAGAAGTCAACTCCCTCTCGCTGACTGAAGCCTCGAGCAACGTAACGCGCCTTGAACGCAGGCGGAGAACGCGGCGGCCGCTTCACCCTGAAAATCCACATGCCACTGACGATGTTCGCCCCAGGTGGGAGAACCTCGTCGACGTAGGTGCCTGTGGACTTCCAGGAAGCCATCTCTGCGTCCATGGCTGTCTGCCACTGAGAGGAGTACTCACCCTCCATCGCCTCTGCGTAGGAGCGTGGGGTCGGGATGTCTGGTGCATCCGGGTCTCCCTCAGGGGCAACTAGCATGGACACGAGATGAGGCAAAGCAGCGGCAAAGCACTCAAACTCCTCCTGTCTGTCCTCAAGGACGTCCGTGCTAAGAGCACACTCACCCCCGACGGACGGAGAACAGACAGACTCAGACTCAGACTCAGCAACAAGGCTAGCGGCGTAGTCTAGACGACAGGCAGCAGCAAAGTCAACAAGCTCAGCGACTAGAGCAGACGCAGCAGAAGACTCAAAGGAAGGGTCAGTGACAACAGTAGCAAGGAGACGCGCGACAGTAGGACCGGCAGCACGAGTAAGGTCTGACGGCGGGTCAGCAACGTCAGGAAGAGAGGACGCTGGGGGAGACGGCAGAGGGACTCGCTGTGGAGCAGTGGAAGGACGCAGGGTCATATAGTGAGTGCCAAGGACAAGAGGAGGACGCTCACGCGGAGCACGACGACCAGCGCGGACAGCATGGACAGACGACTCTGGACGCGACTCAGACGACTCTGGACGAGTCTCAGGCGACGGAGGACGAGACTCAGGCTCACGACGCTCCGTAAGACCTCCCGTCGGCTCAGCGGAAGGAGAAGGACCAGGCAGTGGAGAGGCTGGCTGTAACTGTGACTGCGACTGGACAAGCGGTGGACTCAGGAGGGGAGGAGTAGAACTAGGAGAGGGCGGGAGGCCAAGAACCTGCTGAAGGAGCGGAACGTAGTACGGCCGCGGCCGCTCAGCACCTCCAGCGTCAACCCCCTCAGCAGCTGCACCAGCAGCACCTCCAGTAGCTCTAGCAGCAGCACCAGTACCAGCAGCACCTCCAGCAGTAGTAGCACCTCCAGCAGCTCCAGTAGCACCAGCAGTACCTCCAGCAGCTCCAGCGGCACCAGCAGCACCACCAGCAGCTCCAGTAGCACCAGCACCAGCAGCACCTCCAGCAGCTCCAGCGGCACCAGCAGCACCACCAGGAGCAGTAGCACCTCAAGTAGCTCCAGTAGCTCCAGCACCAGTAGCAGTACCTCCAGCAGCTCCAGCACCAGCAGCACCTCCAGTAGCGCCAGGAGCACCGCCAGCAGCAGCAGCACCACCAGTACCAGGGTCCGCGACACTAGGAGCACCACTCCGGAGACTGCAGCGCCGAGCGTACCACTCTCGGAGCCGCTGAGGAGAGGGCAGCTCCCGCCTAGGAGGGGAAGCACTCGCACCAGCTCCAGCAGCGCTCCGAGTGCCAGAAGCACCTCTCCTGAGGCTGCAGTACTGTAAGTACCACTCACGCAGCTGCTCTGAGGAGAGAGCTCCTCCAGGTGCAGCACTCTCAGACTCAGCACCCCCAGACTCAGCACCCCCAGTCTCAGCACCCCCAGACTCAGCACCCCCAGACTCCGCAACCCCAGGCT